CACCATGCCCAACTCTAGACTGAGGCAATTGTTAAATGATTTATATTTGTGTCTCTTTTTGTGTGTCACCCATCTAAGAATATTTGAAAGCTAATTGTTCTCAGTTGGACTCTGCAGAGAGTAGGTTTCTATTCCTGTATGTTCTCTTTCCCCGGCTTGCAGCTGTGGGGCACATATGTGTGGGAGTTGCAGAGGTGCCTCTGCTGAGGGCTGGACTTTGGGTTTTAGAGTACTGACTGACAGTTATCTACATCAAGTAAACCTCGGATTTGATGATTATTTATTAGCCTTTGCTTTGTGGTTAAATGTCACATGTTGAATTGGCTTACAATCTTTGTAGCCGGGATCGAACTTGTGACCTCGCACTTGCCACGCAGGCCGTTATGCCACTGAGCTAAAATCCCCAGCTGGCTTATGATTTTTATAATGAGTCTGTTTTGTGCGATCAGGCAGAGTGGTGCACAGGTAAAGGCTCATGTGTTCTGTGTTCCTCGTGGATTGAGTGCTCACCAGCCCCTTACTTTATTTGGTGGGAAATTCAGACCTGTGTAAGGGGTCTTCTGGGCAGACATCACTGTACGGCTTTAATTTTGGAGGAGGCCAAATAAATGTCTTCAGTCTTTTTTTTTGTGTGTGTACTGGGGATCAAACTCATGACCTCATGTTTGCCATGCAGGCACTTAGGCCACTTGAGCTAAGCCAGTGGCTCTGTCTTAAGTCATTTTAAGGGGCGTTGCTTTAACCTTAAAAAGCATAAATTTGCAGTGACAAATATTTCAGCTGACACATTTTACATACTTGGCATGTGGCAAGTAGGGGCTGCCCCTTTCGATTCACTATACCCTTTTGCACTAATGTGGGTGACTGTACTTTAAAGATGGCATCACATTTTTTTGAGATGTATGGGGCACTACCAGGAGTGATTGTATGTGTCCATTGTTGGGCCCCAGATAGCATAGACTTAGATTCTAGGAGTACAGATACAAACATACTTTATTCATGAACAAACCATTTTAACAGTGGCCTAAGCAAACCTGGCAACTTTTTTTCTCCTTTAACTTCCACCAACCCCCAGTTCCTTTCCTGCTGGGCCTCCATTCCTAGGTCTTTGTCTCTGGCTGGTATTTTAGAAATTTGGGAGAGGAAGGCAATGGGTGGGACGATGTGGAAGCTGGAGGCAGGGAAGGGGGTGGTCACTTGTGGTGTCAAAGGTCAAGCTTGCTCCATTTAGCTGGGGCAGCCAGATTGTCTCCAGGCCTAAGGGGGCATGGCCATCCATCTGTCCCAAAAGGCTTGGGAATTCCTGCTGCCAGAGGACCTCTTCTCTCCAGTCCCTCGCCCCCAACCCCATCCCCCTTTCCAGAAGACAGTTCCTAATTGCTGCCTGCTTTCTGTATATAGGTACTGCTGCACATTTCCAAGTTATTCCTTTAAAATCATCTTCCTGGTGTTTCAGATAATTGTACCCATGCACATGCTTGCCTACTGATTGTGTTACAGTGACCCTAAGATTGTGGGTTTTTACTTTTAGAAATTGCAAGCAAGTCGCCTGGCGTGTTGCTCACGCCTGTAGTCCCAGCACTAGGGAGGCTGAGGCAGGAGGATCGTTGCGAGTTCGAGACCAGCCTAGGCTGCAAAGTGAGCTCAAGGCCAGCCTGAACTGCACAGCGAGACCCTGTCTCAGAAAGACAACAACAACAACAAAATGCAAGCAAAGGGGAGCGAGGGGAGGCAATATCTTCCTATGGTCTTACTCTTTTTGTGTGTGTGTATATTTTTACCAATACCAGGGATCGAACTCATGACCACATGCTTGCAAGGCAGGCGCTTATGCCACTAAGTTAAATCCCCTGATCTTACTCTTTTAAAAAGCTAAAAGACTTTAACAGAAAACTAATTTTATGATTTTTTTGGACTATGCATTTCTTTAAAGATCACAGCTTATTATAAGCACTCTGGGGCATAGTTTTTTGGGGGCCCAGGATGTAGCTCAGTGGTGCAGTGCCAGTGCCTGTCTGGCAAGCATGAGATCCTGATCCTGAGTTTGATTTTTGGTACCCACAAACAAAACAAAATAATCATAGTTTTTTTTTTTTTTTTTTGATTAATTACTTACCCTACCTCTCACAGGGCAACTGTTTGTCTTCTGTAGCTAAGGTGTGTTTTGGATACTTAAGGACTGTTTAGAATGATACCAGTGTAGAATGATACCAGGGTGAACTGCATGCATAGTCTACTTTGGCCCATTTTGGGGGGCGTATTACTGCTCCCTTTCCTGCCATTGTCTGTGCTGAACAGGATTTCTTTTCTGGCAACTGTACATCATGGGAGACCTCCTTTGCTCTACGTTATATACACTTCACTTTAAGGTTAACAAACACAATTTCAGAATATTTCTTTTCTTTCTTTCTTTTTTTTTTTTTTTTTTTTTTTTTTTAATTTCAGAATATTTCTTGCAGTCTCCCAACTGCATCCTAGAGCCAAGCGTCCTGGCTCAGCTTCAGTTACTTGGAAGTGCTGGAAGTGCTTTGGGTCCTGTTGTCGGGGAGGTGGAGTTCCTGGTGTTTCACAATGGAAAGAGTCTCATGAGGTATATACCTTGTCAGACCCCATTCAGTTTCTTAGATGAGACTGAGAGTCTCGCAGGCCAAAGGAAATGACTGGACAGACAGTCCGACACCCAGGTAGCCCCATGCTCCCGGTTAAGAGCATGAAGTTCTTTTCTACTGTTTGGCTGCAGTGCTGTCTGTAAGCCATTCAGGAAGGAGGGGACTTTAACCAGCCACACAGCTGTCCTGTGAAGAAGAGATATAAATAAGGTAATGCCTTCTCAAGTTATTTAGCTTTTTGGTAGAAAGAGGAAGACCACAGAGTGCTTTTACTGGCCCCTTTTATTCTAATTTAAAAGGAAACTTCTGATGGAAGGTTTTCACACTTCTCAGTAGCAAGGGAGTGATCTCTTTATTCTTGTGACAAATGGAGCAGAGGGAAGGAATGTGGCTGAGGTGGCTGAAACTGGGAGAATTGCTTTAGAACTACATCATAAAAATAAACTGTCCAGGAATTTTCTCTGGATTTATCCAGTTTAGCATCTATATGGTTTCCATTTAGACTTTGCTCAAGAACTTCTAACCGATTAGGAAGAAATCATCTGTTAGGGGTGGGGCAGTTTAAAAAAGCAGTTGGCCTTGAAGAAAGCAAATTCTCCCCACCTGGTTTGAACCAGGTGGAAAACTATAGTGATCCGAAGTTAAGAGTGAAGCGCACCGAGGATTTAGCTATAGCTCAGTGGTGGAATGCTTACCTAGTCTTTAAAGCCTGCTATGTCAGATCTATTTCTTTTATAATGTCCTACCCAGGCACAGTGGCTCAAGCCAGAAATCCCAATAGTCAGAAGGCTAAGCAGAAGAATTACAAGTTTGAGGCCAGGCATGGGCTACTTGGTGAGATTCTGCCTCAGAATCAAAGGGGTGGGGGTATATATAGTTACAATAATTTGCAAGGCATCTGGTTCAGTCCTTAGTACTGCAAAGAAATTGGAGTAAAAAGCACACAAACCCCACCGTATGTGGAACCTTCCATTTTATTTCTGAATGCAAGAGTTTATAGAGCGGGGGCCTGACTAACCTCTGCTGCATTACTCATTTCCCTGTTAACCCAGCCTGAGTGGAGCAGCCTGTTCATTCACAGCCGTTTGTGAGCACATTCACTAGTAGTCATGTTTCATGCTAAGATTTTGGTTGGTTAATAAAGTAAACGTCGTAGAAGAGAAAAGCAGTAGCATCCTCACTCTGCCTACACCCTCAGCTCCTCTGCATGATTTCTGTGTGGTTTCTCTGTCGAATACTACTTTCTGGCTGGCTCTATGAACAATCCTCAGTGTGCCCTGCCTGCCTGCCTGCCTGTCATAGCAGTGACCTGCTTCCTGGCTAGGATCATCCTGGACCCCCCATTATACCTAGGAGATTGTTTTGTGCTCTGGATGAGATAGTCACTACCGTGTGTGTGCCCAAAGCCAGCTCTTCAGAAAGCTTAAATTGGTCTCCTGGTTGTATTTTTGCCAATTATGTGGCCTTGGGTTTATCACCACCTCTTCATCTTTTGGAGATTGTAAGTGAGCTGTAGATGGAAAAGAATCCTCCTCACTTCATTTCCCTGTCTGTTGTGAGCCACTTTCCTCTCACACCACCCAGATGTGTGTGCAGGCTGAAAGTGATCCAAGAAACACTGACTTACAGAGGATGGCACTAAGTGTCCTGTTGTTGAGAAATGTACAAGGGAACTTGGCCAGTTTCTGTGCCAGTTTTTCTTCCCTCTTGAGAGCGCCTTGTTTCTAGCAGGTACAAATTAAACCAGACTTTATCTCTGCCTGCCAGCCTGTGGGGCCCTAGAGAAGTCTCTAGTATCACAGGAAGCTGTACCTTCAGCTCTGGCAACTTCCCTGGTTCAACTCCTTAGAATACCTTGGCAGGCAGAAGGAAGGCAAGAAGCATGCTGACCACTAGCCATTTGCCTTCACATAAGCCTGTAGCTTGCTTGAGTGCCTGGGAAAACTTTGCACTGGCTTCAGGGATGTTTGCTGGTTCTTAACCTCGTCCTAAGCAAAGCTGGCAACTTTTTGTTGTATTTCATTCAGACCGCCAATCCTAGACCAGGGGACATAATCTTATAAGATGTACTGTTACAATTTTTTCTGGGTAATTAAGCTGAGATACAGGAAACTCATTTGAAGTGTCTCATTTTATCCCTGCTTTCCAAGTGTGGCAGTCTTTGTTCTCAGTGAAACTTGAGTAGGATGTGGCAGTCTGTTGGGTTTCCCTCCCTTAGTTTGTGGTGCAGAGAATGGGAAGGAAGGGCAGATGGATGTTAACTGTGTTGGCAGTTGTTCACCTGCCTGTCTGAGGATGTTTGCTTGTTGGAAGAGGGTTGTTTGTGCCTTGGTTGCTGCTGTTCACCAAGTCTGCACCTCTAATTTATGGCTGTTTCTCTCCCTTCCCTAGGTATTGCATCTATACTGTGACACATGCTCAGTGCCCATCTGTCGTGAGTGTACGATGGGCCGGCATGGTGGTCACAGCTTCATCTACCTCCAAGAGGCGCTACAGGACTCCAGGGCACTCACCATCCAGCTGCTGGCAGATGCACAGCAGGGTCGCCAGGCAATCCAGGTCAGCCCTTGCATCCTTCAGCAATGCCCACTATAAAACCTTTCCCTCTGTCGGTCCTGTGTATGGTTGGGCAGGCTGTAGGATTGAGGGTGGGGAAATTGGAATAGTTGCCAAGAGAGAGCTTGTGGCATCAGTGCAGCAGTGATTGCTGCATCAGGGCTCCTGACAGTCTCAGAAGATGATAAAGACATGGCTCCAGTTGTTAGTCAAACATCTGACACCCAGCTGAGGCTCATAGATCACACTTGAATTCGTACTATTTAGCCCCCTCCCCAAATCCAAATGCACATTGGCATTTTCCAGTCAGGATGGCAGAAAACCACATACTTAATGCTTTTATTTTTGGTAAGAAATAAGTGAACCCTGGGGATTTTGTGTTATAGGCTTACAGACTTTACTGTGCCCTGGATCATAAAGCCTTGGTAATTTACCCTTGTCTATGGATCCTCATCACTCAGAGTTAGAGGGTTAGTATCATTCTCTTCCATGGTTAAGTATAGTGTACTTAGCTGGATTGCTTGATACCCCAAGTGTAGACTATAGGAGTTGGTATTAGTAGATTACATGTGAATACTAGATCCTGAGCACTAGTGTGGAGGAGCCAAGGGACAGTGGTACTAGGTTGGGGTGGGAGGTCCATACTAGTCATGGTATACCCACTGCCATGGTGAGTGTGGTTCTCAGAAGGTCCTTGTGACCATAGCATGTATGTTGGCATCCTTTTTTTTGGCCTCTGGGTTCTAATTCTCTAAAACCTACATTGATCCAGTGGTTTGGAGATGAGAGCAATGAACATCTTTTTTTGTTTGAAAGTCTTTGAAGAATGAATGATATCCTCAACACATTGGACATTCCCAGATAATCTGCCAGCTGGCAACTTGGAAGCCTCTAGAAAGCAGAATGTTGGTTGCAGAGCCTGTACTGTGGTGTTGGGGGAAGAATTGTCTCAAGATGGCAGCACAATGGGAACTGAAGCAAGGATGACGACTGAGGCCAAGCTAATTTATTCACATCACTCCATTCACAGGTTGGGTGTGGTGGAATATCCCTGCAAATCCAGGTATTCCAGAAAATGAGATAGGATCACAAATTGGAGCCCAGCCTGGGCAACTTTGTGAGATCCTGTCTCAAAACCAAAGTAGGGCCAGGATTGTAGATACTAGGTTTAATTTTCAGTAAGACAGAAGACAGATACAAAAATATTTAGAATAAATATGACTCATAGAGCCATTTTTGTATAAAGAAATATTTAGGTTTGGTTAAGTATTTTTTCCTTTGATTATCAAGCAATGGAATGATTGGTCATCCACTCATATTTTCAGTGCTAATGAAATGGAAAGTCTACTTAACCTTTTGTTAACAATATAACAATACTTATTGTTTGGTGTCCCTAATGTAAACATTATGGGCGGGAATACATTCAAGTCACATGTATGAGGCCAGTGGTTTCTTGTATGATTTGGGCCTTTGTTTTCCGGTTGTGTTGTGTTTTGTTCTTTTGAGATAAGGTCTCTGCTATGTGGTTCAGGTTGGCCTTGAGCTTACTATGTAGTTCAGGCTGGCCTGGAACTCAGTGGCAATCCTCCTGCCTCAGCCTCCAGGGTTGGGATTACAGGTGTGTGCCACCACATCTGGCTTATTTTTTAATATTAAAATCACTTTATACAGAATAATTTTGGTTACACAAGGAGATTCTGGTTTCTTACAGAGATTCTTAATAACTAGTTTGACATAGAGGTCATTGGTTTAAAAATCTGTCCTTTGCTGGGTGTGTTGGCATACACCTGTAATCCCAGCACTGTGGGAGGCAACAGCAGGAAGAAGATGATAAGTATAAGCCCAGTTTGGGCAAATTGTGACCTAGTGACCCTCTATGTACAAAAAAGAAAGACAGAAAGGAAGAAAATGAGAGTATTCCTCAGTGCCCTAGGCTCAATCCCTTGTATTGTAGCAGCCCTTCTCCCCAACCTGTCCTTGATTTGTATATTTACTCTTTGTAGTATTACAGTATTCAGTGTGTCTGTCACGAACATTTAATTTTTACTTTGGTTAAGATGGTGAACCCAGGTCCTTGAGCCAGGTTAAGACCACTGAACTATACTGGGTGGTTGACTTGCTTCCTTCCTGTTTTGCTTTTTTCTTTTTTTAAATAAAGACAGACATTCACTATACAGTTCAGGCTGTGCTTAACTCACTTTGTAGCCCAGACTGGCCTCAAACTTGCAGTGATCTTCTGCCTCAGCCTCTTGAATGCTGAGATTACATACAGACATGCATTACCATGCCTAACCATCTTGGGTTATTTTTTTAAGCTGCTGCTTTGTACTAGCAAATTTATGGATCCAAGAAACAATTTTTTGGGAATGGGCTTTATTTCGCTAATTGACTATAGAGTTAAGTTGACATTAATCCAAATGACGCTTAGGGAAAAATAATACAATTAAATTAGTCATAGCAAACATTAAGAAAAATGGGGAATGCAAAAACAAAAAAAAAATACATTGGAAAATTAGAGATGAGGTAGAAGTAGAGGTAGAGGGGCTGGGGATTTAGCTCAGCGGCATAAGCACCTGCCTTGCAAGCAGGCAGTCGTGAGTTCGATCCCTGGTACCGATAAAAAAACGAAAAAGACAAAAAAAAAAAAAAAAAAAAAGTAGAAGTAGACCAAATACTATTAAGAGTTTTCTCATAAAAATCTGGCAGGATATATATATATATTTTATTTAAGGAGAAAAAGAAAAAAGCAGAAAAAGGGTACAAGTTATACAGAATTTCAGAAAAAAGATAAACAGTAGGAAATCACTAGTTAATGGATTACATATTGTCATCTCAGAAATATTTGTTCAAGTTACAAGATTAAAGCATATAAAGTGGACATTCAAACAGACTGCAAACAGTTCTGTTCAGTGGTCCAACAAAAATCAGTAATATCATTGTTTATCTTACGCACTTAAAGTTACATGCAGTTATATTGTTTAGAGCACTTCCTTTTCCTCTCTTTTGTACAATGACTATTACACATTTTGAGTTTTATTGCTCCCACAGTTCTTATTACTTTTTTTGGAAGAGACCAAAACCAAATGTGACATAACAGAACAGAGTCGGTCAAATCAAAAGGGTGGACATAATAGATAATGTAAAGACATAATCTAAGGTGATCAACTGGTTACCATAATGCCTCCCACTATTTCTAATAGAATTGCCTATATCATCAGTTATAATAAAATTGAACAAAACTGTAAAGAATGAAACCAACAAAACCAAAACATTGGATACATTACATGTCTTCAAAAGTAGATAATAGTCAACCAGAATGGGTGTCATAATGAATCCCACTATCTTCACAGCTGTTGCCTAAACTTTCAAGTCTGGTACTATCAAGCAAAACAGAATAGAGGAACATCAGTCAAAACAAGATGGTGAGAGCAATACAGGGCTTCAAATCAAGTTAATAGAAAATCAAAGTGGGTTACTATAATATATATTCCCTGCTATTTTTTATTTATTTTTCCCTTAACTAAAAGGATAAAAATAAAAAAATAATAAAATGAGATTAAGATAAAAGAGGGCATAACAGCAAATCACCGCAGATCAAAACATAACCATTTAAGCAAAATAGTGTTTCACCACAAGATAATCCCGACATAAAAGTAGTTACCATATTGTCTCTTTCCTTGAAATCTTTGAGTATAACTTCGTATACTGTAGCATCAAATATATCAAAACAATGTAAAACCATGCAAGAGAATGACAGTATTACAGGGTATTTAGAATCAACTAACAGAAAATGAATAATGGTTTCTGTATAACCTCCTTGTCTATAGAAGTTTTTGTTTATACTATCACATATAATAAAATCCAATAAGATACAACGTGTTAAGACCAATGGAGACAGAAGAACAAAAGCTTGATGAGACTTCAAAACAAGATGATACTAAATCAGCATTACCTATTATGATGTCATTTTCTCCAAACTAGCTGTTCCTATCATCCAATCTTCTCTGCCTCATTTCTGTTGAGCTCTTTTTCTGTCATTAGTTGTCAGTTTGTCTTCTTCATTTTGTTTTCTGCTCCATTCATTGTGGCCTCTCTGCCACTATTTCTGGATTCTTCGTGTTTTTCTTTTTTAGAATATCCTGCAGTATTCTCTGTAGAGTTGAATTGGTGATTGCATATTCCCTTAGTTCCTCTTTATCCTGGAAGCACCTTGTTTTTCCATCAATTTCCAGGGATAGTTGTGCAGGATATATCAATCTTGGCTGGAGGTTATTATCTTTCAAAGCTTGTATTATTTCCCCCCACGCTCTTCGTGATTTGATGGTTTGTGCCGAGAAGTCTGCTGTAATTCTGATGGGTGTTTCCGTGTAACAGATCTGTTTCTTGTCTCTGACGGCTTTTAGTATTCTGTTCTTATATTGGATTTCTGGTATTTTGATTATTATATGCCTGGGTGTAGCTCTGTTTGGGTTGTAGGTGTCTGGGGTCCTGTATGCTTCATACATCTGAGTATCTTTACATTTTGCTAAATTGGGAAAATTCTCCTGAATTATTTCTGCGAGTAGCTTTTGTAGTTCATTTGTTTATGTCCCTACCTCTTCTTTTATGTTCTTAATTCTTAAGTTGTAGATCCTCTTATCATCTTCTAGTCTTTGTATTATTGCTGTTTGTTTCTTTGTTATTTTTAAGAAGTTTTTCATTTCATGCTCCCATATTACAAACCTGCCCTCCAGTTCAGATAATTTATTCTTAGTTTCTTTCAAGCTGTTATGCCAGTTTTCGATAGTTTTTAGTTTCCTGGTAATCTCTTTGAACCTGTTTCACATATTCTATGTTTTCTCTATTTTCTCCATCAAACAATTCTCCCCTCTTTTTCTGTTCTTCCATTCCACCACCTGTTTTTTTCTTGGGTGGTGCTTAGCATTTCTCTAACTATTCTGCTTATGTCTAGCTTCAGGTCATTAATAACTTCATTCCTGAACTCATCTATGAGGCTCTGGAGA